TATCAGTTTTGCCACTTTCTGAAGCCCTTCTGTCTAAAGCAGTACCTTTATTTACACTCTCACAGTTGCCTCCATGTTCCGTTTTCAAAACATTCAGCTTTCACGGTCATTTTGACTTTGAGAAAGAGCCAGAAGCTACAGTGCCAGATCCAGTGATTAAGGTGGATGAGGACGCACTGCGATGTATTTACGAGCCTGCCCTTCTGTTGAATGGCACTCGGCAGCAGCATTCACTGCATTTTTGTTTTTAATCACCCCTCATAAAGACACTCATGAAAGAGGACTTCCAGAATTGCTTCAGAAAGCGGCAAGGATGGTGGGATGTGTTCGAAGCACGGAGAGTATTCTGAGGGCGACCAAGGGCAATGCGTCATCATATATTTCAGTCACGGCTCAGAGGTCTCCCTCCCACCCCATCCCCAATCCTTCAGCTCCCTTGCCTGAGAGACAGCCGTCGAACTAATTCCTTATGACTCTTCCCAGACATATTTGAGACACAGGCGAGTATATTTTAATACATACAGTAGGACCATTTTGCTTTTCCAAGTTGTAAATTATCTTTGAGAGCAAGACACTAGCCCTCATGGAACTACTTTTTATCCCTTTAATCTCATCTTTTTAAATATTTGTTTAATATTCTTGACATAGACTTAGCACCAGCTTGTTAACTCCCCCTCTGCTGGAATTTAAATTGTTTCCCGTCTCAGGGTTGGAAACAATTCTGTAATGAACGTTTACATGCATATCACTTCTTTTCTTATGAGGTAGAAAACCCTCTCCCCTCTTCAAATCGGAGCCCCAAAGACCATCCTTGTGGTGTAGAGCAGGGCATGGTGGCACATGCCTGTAATTCCAGCACTCTGGAAGGCCAAGACAAGAGGACTGCAAGTTCAAGCTCAACCTGAGCAATTCAGTGACAGGAAGACCTGGCTTTAAAAATAAAAATAAACTAAACTGTGGGTGTAGCTGAGTGCAAAGGCCCAGGGTTTGAGCCCCTGTATTAAAAATAAAACCCATAGGGGCAGGAGAAGGAAAACCCGCATTCCAGTCTTGGCTCTGCCACCAACATCCTTTGCACCCAGACACAAATCATCGCTTCTCCGTGTGTGACTCAAGTCCCCTGCTTATCAAGCAGCGGTAATTGTTTGCCTCATATGGACTTCTGAGAATCAAATGAGATCACGCACAGGAAAGCTCACAAGCACTGTAATAAACAAGACTCCAGCTGTCACAGCCAAGCCTCTAATGGATACGTTGCCCTGTGACTGTGCCCTTCAGTCTTCCACGTGGTGGTTACTGTCCCTGCCCCCACCCGCTGCCCCTCTAAGGGAAGCTGACCCTCCTGCAGCTCCTACCATGGACCACTGAGGCTGCTGTGTGCTGTGCCACACGGCCCCTGCCTCCTCCTTCACCACAGCCAGAGCCCGGCTGGGCGCCTTCCATAGGCTGCCCAGGGCTTGGAAAGGGGACTGTGCTGGGTCTTTCTGATCTCACCCCTGGAAAACAGTTATTAGGATATCACAAGTGACGCTGTTAGGACAAAGACAAAGGTGTAGAGAGAGCCACATGGTCATGGCCAGGGCTACAGGGACCCCTAGAGGCTGGGGTTCTGAATAAGCTGAAACTGGAGAAAGTGGAAACCTCATACATCTCAGCTACAAGGGGGGAGGATCTCTGAAAGAAGTACAAAGACACAAGAGCAGAAACCCCAAATTGGCTGCATCATGGCAGTGACCACGTACCTGGGAAGGGGCACCAGCCCTGGCTGCTGGTCCCTGGCCCCAAACCCAGCACAGCTCCTACAGGGCTGACGCACCCTATTTCACTGCTTCCAGGCGCCCATGTATCTCCTCTCCCTCACTCCCGGTCCCTTCACTACACGTCCACTTTCAACGAGCTCAGAGGACGGAGAGAAGGCTCTATTTGCACTGTCATGAAGGTAAACCAACTGAGGCTGTAAGGTTGAGCTCCTGACCCCTAAGGACCTCCCAGAGGACAGGTCTGTCATTGTGCTCTCTTGGGAGAGGGGAATGAGAATCCTGGACTGTTTCTCCTTGCTTACTGAATTGACGTAGGCTCCTAGGGAAAGGGCAGGGTGGAGGGCAGAGGGCAGAAACGGAAAGAAGAGTGGATAATGATTACAAGCTGAGACTTTGCCCTCTTACTCAAAACCCATCTACCCTTCAGGTCACCTCTTCCACCAAACCCACCCCACCCAGCTCTTCCAGCCACATTATCACTCACCTCTTGCCTCCTTTGCCACATTGCCTAATTGGCCCCCAATCGGTCCCCTGTATCTGCACCTTCTATCCTATGTCTTTTGCAGTTTCCCCAACTACAGGAGCAGAGTACATTTCCCCATCTTTTATCTTGAGCTTTGGCCATGTGACTGGTTCTGGCCAATAGTAAAAGATGGAAGTGATGGTAGGCCCATCCCAAGCCTCTTCTGCTTCTTCCCTTGCCATGAAAAAAGCATGCCCCGCTAGCCCATTGTTCTGAAAAAGAGGACAAGTGACACATGGGGCAAAACTGCCTCAGTCAAGCCCCCACCCAGCTGAGTCCCACCTAGATCAGCTACCCTTCAGATTTCTGAGCTACATAAATGTTTATTATTGTATCCTACTGAGATGTTATGGTTACCTGATGTACAGCTAATGCAACTACACTTGGCATTTACTTTATATTTCAGTACTTGGTTTTTAATAGATTATTTAATCCTACAAAATTGTTTCTTTACGTAGGTTTCTCCTAGTTATGACCACCAGATTTGACAAGTAATAAATACGGGGTCCCCAGTCAAAACTGAATTTCAACAAACAAGGAAAAAAATGTTAGTAGAAAAGTGTCCTGAGCAATTTTGAAAACATGTTTATACTAAAAATTATTTGTCTAAAAGTCAAACTTCAACGGGCACTCTGAATGTGTCTGACAGGCCTGCCCATGCATGAGGCAGGACAGATCTCCCACAATGTAGCTGTGAGACAGGTCACATGGTCACTTCCACAGTGCTGGGAGAAGAAAGCTAAAGATCTTCAAGAAGACAAAGCTAAGTCTGGAGTGCATTCTTTTCTCCATGACACATCCACCCCTTATAACAATAATGAGGGTTACCATTTGCTTAGTCCCTCTATGGATATAGAGTGGGCTTAACACACCTTTTTATTTTCACACTAGAACTGCCACACAGGGAGGTAGCTAAGTCATTACCTCCATTCACAAACCAGGGCCCTGAGTATCAGACAGGTTGGAATAACTTTCCCTTGGTTACACAACTAGGGGGAGGAGCAGAGCTAGAATTAAAAGGCAGTCCTTTCTCTTTCCATAATGTAACCCCGCCTCCAGCTACCAAAAGTGTTCTGTTGTGGTTTCCACAAAACTGGAGATGCCAAAGCATACTTCCTCGCCTTCCAGTCTTTTTCGCACTCTTCAATCCATTCTGTCTGTGTGTATGAATAACACAGATCGTATTCGTTTTCTGTTGCCATTATAACAAAGTACCACAGACTGGGTCCCTTGAGCAATTGACATTTATTTTTTCAGTTCTGGAGGCTGGACACGGAGACCAACATGTCAGTGGGTGTTATGGCTTGGATCTAGATGTCCCCCCAAATCCTCACACAGTCACAGGTGAGGAGTTTCAAACGTGGCTGGATTAGGGTGTGTGATGCTGGGACTAAGCTTGTGGGGCTGGGATTTAGGGGGTGAGATAATGGAAGTCCCAGTATGGCATGGGTGGCACCAGTCAACAGGCTTACAGCCTGTATGGAATATAAAAGGAAAGGGAAGCCAGTCTTGCTGCAGCCTTCTGCCTGCCATGGCAAGAATGGTTTCTCCTCTTTGATGTCCCTCTGCCATGCCACTCTGCCTTGGAGCCAGCTAATTATCAATTGAAACCTCAACAAAATGTGAGCTGAAATAAACCTTTCCTCCTTTAACTTGTGTCAGATATTTTGGCCCAGTAATGAGAAAAGTAACTAAGGCAAAGCAGTTAGTCCCTTCAGAGGTTGATGAGAGAAGGAGCTGCTCCAGACCTGCAATGATTTTGCATCAACTTAGTTGAGCCACAGGATGCTCAGGATCCAGCTAAACATTATTTCTGGATGTCTCTTTAAGCGTGTTCCTAGAAGAGTTTAGCATTTGAATCAGTGTTTGGAAAATCAGATGGCCCTCCCAGTGTGGGGGGGTCTCATCCAAGCCACTGAGGTATTGCATCAAGAGAAACATGGAGGAAAGCTAAACTGGCTCTCATAGCCTGACTTGCTGAGCTGATTCATGGGTCCTCTCCTGCCTTGGACTGGGGCTTACACCACAGATTCCCCTGGTTCTCAGGCTACAGTGAATTCACACGGCCACTTCCCTGGACTCCCAGCTTAGACAGGAGCTTGTGGAGCCTTTCAGCCTCCATGATTTCATGAGCCAATTCTCATCCTAAATCTCATTTATCTATCTCTTAGTTTGTTTCTCAGGAAGACTGTAATACAAGGCCATCATCTCCTGTCTGTACATATCTGTGGGTAAATTTCCTCTTCTTAGAAGCACATCAGTAATATTGGATTAGGATCCACACTAATGACCTCATTTTTTTTTTTATACCGGGGATCACTAATGACCTCATTTTAACATAATCACTTCTATAAAGATCCTATTTCCAAATACAGCCACATTCTGAAGAACTGGGGGTTAGGACTTCACCATAGGAATAGAGGGGGTGGCTGATTAAGCCATAACAAGGTTTATACAGCTAATTACGAGTCATCTCAATATAATCTGCGTTGAAAAGAACCCAAGGGAATGGGTCTTATATGGTGGGATTCTAAATTTCAAGTGAAAGTGTAGTTTTCAAGCAGTCTTAGGGATGAGAAAGGCCCATCTCACAGTCTTTAACAATAGTACTTTAAAGGTGTGTATCACAGCCTCTATCAGGGGGACCCTGGCAACTGGCAGAATGCAGGTGATTATGAGGACAGGGGATTGTGACAGCAGCTAAGCTGTGCAATCTGGCAAAGTCAAACATCACTGCCTCAGAAGATGCCCTCTGGCCCAGGCTGGTTGCACTGTGGCTTCCTGGATGGCGACAGAGGACAGGGAGGTGATGGAAGCCCAGGGAGCAGGAGAAAGTTGTCCCACCTCCAAGCTGGTGCCTGGTGACTCCACATCTGAAGGGAAGCTGAGGGCCACGTTGGTATGGCCCAGTCACTGCCCCTGCCCTTTCCCCAGGGGAACAAAGAGCACTAGGGATGTGGGACAGGGGCTGAGTGCTATGAGATTCAGGGAAATGCCAAGAAGAGCAGGACCAGCACCCCGTTCCCACAACTAACACCCAGCTGTCAGCAGGGACCAGAGGCCCTGCACAAGTGTATAAGGTCACTTAAAGCCGGCTTTGGCCTCACTCAACTACCCTCCCCAACCATCTGAGACTTTTTCTCCTCCATGGATAGGAATCCCTTCCCACATCTTTTTTTTTTTTTTTTTTTTTTTTTTTTTTTT